TTCAGCTGCACAACATTTCTAGAGATTATTCACAGCAGAAGAGTGTCTCCTAGGCAGCTACAGAGATCAGCGTTGCTCGTTGTAAGTAGCCTTCCTAGGATAAGATGTGTTCAGGCATTTCCATCTTTGGGTGTTCATAGGACAGTCGAGGTCATCCATAGGCTGATCTAATCTTTGCTGGCTTCCCACAAGCTGGGGGAGAGGCTGTCTTTTTTGTATCCATCATCTAGCTCATGGCCTGTGCCAGCATGATTTGGCTTCACGGTGTCTCAGTTAGTGTTGCTGTTAGTCTTTTACAACAAGATCTAGTCTTCACGTGACATCAAAATGCATGGTTCATATACTCACTTCTTATCCTTCTTATGTACACTTTTTACCCTTCAGATGTAGAATCTACACCTAGGGCAAAGGACTGGAATATAATAACATAAACTGCAGGTAGTATAGTCGAAAGTCCTAATGTCAAACTTATTAATGGTATTTATTGAAGGCAATGAAGTGACTCACTGGCTTTTTGAAGATGGTGGGAAGAAGGCAGGACTTCAAGACAATGTACAAATAAAAGAATAACACAAGTGACCAAGCTCCTCTAATCTTGGAAAGCTTAGATGTTTCTTTTCATCTCAGTGAATATGGTTAACATTTATAATGACTAATAGAAGGTACATAAGCTCTCTGAGGTGAAAAATACAGTACTTTATTCTTAAGTAGTACATGACCTATAAAGCAAATAGTGTAAATCTTAAACATCAATTTCCTGCTGAGTGTTGCAAAGATGAGGAGTAATAGCTTTTGAACAGATCTTTCCAGAAATGCTCTGGAACGTCATTGCTGAAATTGTTTTTTTTTTTTTCTAGGCAGTTTATTAATTGGCAAATGTGGTACCTTATGATTGCTTTTGAATATGAATAAGTCCTTTTTCCCAAAAATGTTACTTTATCTTAGATTATTTTTTAAATGAATCTATGATGTTTGGCCATGCTCATTGCTCCTTTCCAGATACATATTTGGGTCCTTTTTTTCAAATGAAGGAACAGGTACAAGGACAATGGTTTAGTAAATTCCCAATTATGAGCACTTGTTGAACTCATTTAATAAATCATCTCCTCATCTTTTATTGTCAGAAGGAATTAATGTTGAGTCCTGTTTTCAAAAGTTGCAGTCTTCACAAATAGAATTATTCACCACTAACTGGATTCCTTTTTTCATATGTTAGCTCATTTGAAGCAGCTAGAATGAGTATCATTATTTCAGAGTTAAATATTTTCAGCAGAGGGCAGAGCAGGGACTGATGCAAATCCATGTTTCTCTGTGGGGAGCTATTGGCCATAATCCTCCTCCATTCATGCTGGTAGGCACAGGAGGAAAAAATCTAGATGAGGCTTTTGTGAAAGTGGTTGCCTGCAGTAGACTGGTATCTACAACTCAGGAGGATTTGAAAAGATCTGTGTTCCAGTGTTTATAAAGACCACACCGTCTATCACCAGGGTGCAGGCTCTTCACATCAATAACCCAGCCTTTCTAAGCCGTCCGGGACGAGAACATGGGTTTTGTCCCACTGCCTCCAAGGGGCGGGTAGCCTTTCACTCTAATGAGCTGATGGACTGCCTCTGCCAGTGAGGTAATGCTTGGCTCCCGTCCCAGGACAAAACTCTTCAGCCAATAGATCCTAGTGTCTTTTCTTCAGCACTTCAGTTCTGATTCTTTGGATTTACTAGCTCAGATTTCACAGAGCAACTGTGTCTTTCCACATCCCTTAGCACCACGGGAATCTTGACTGGAAGGGTCCTCGGGAGGTCACTCAGCCCAGTCCCTCACTCAGAGTAGGACTATTACCAACAGTAGGTGAGGCCAGCCCTGGCTTGCCTGGCTGAGCTGCCAAAACCTCCCAGGACCTGCTCCAGTGCTGCACCACCCACCTTCTGGAAGTGTTTTCCTTACATCTCGCCTGTCTCTTCCCAGCCATAAGCTGTGGCCCTTGCCCCTTCTTATATCAACTGGAATTGCCAAGATAAATTTAGCTCTCTTATCTTTGTAACTACCCTTCAAGTAAATGTACTCTCCCTTAGATCCACAGTTTCCAGCAGATACTTCTGTATTCCATAGCGGATTGCACTCCATAGGCAGTGTCTGTAAGCCTGGACAAAAGTGCAATCCCTAATTCCAGGCAAGGCACCCCCGAAGGGGTCCTTCTGCTGTCCCATGCCTCTCTCTTTCTGCAGAGCTGCTCACTGCCTTTGGTGGTCTTCTCATCCCCAGCTCTCACCCGGCTTCTCAGGGTCTGTAGGGTGGCAGCTGGTTCATTTTAAGGGAGTCTCAGCTTAAACCTCCCTAAAGATCACCCTGTACCCTAGGGTGCACAAGTGAGGAAGCTGGGGTTTTGTACTCATGCAAGGGGCAGACATAGCCGAGTCCTTACCAAAATCTTGGCTTTTTACATTTAAAGTCCGTTTGCATGCCTTTCTTCCATCTTATCTCTGTGTTACAGACCAGAAAATACCCAAGGAAAACACTTAAAAGCTTTAAATTCCAATGCATCTGAATAATAGTAATTTATCCTGGAGATGTTTTCCACCTCTCTGTTCCATCTCTCTGACAGTACAGAATTTATGACATTTTATGGCATAACTCACTCAGATTTATTGATTTAAATGCTATCATTTTCATACAAATCTGTCTCTGGTTTTAGAATCATAGAATAGTTTGGGTTGGAAGGGACCTTAAAGATCATCTAGTTCCAAACCCCCTGCCATAGGCAGGGACCCCTTCCACTAGACCAGGTTGCTCAAAGCCCCATCCAACCTGGCCTTGAACACTGCCAGGGATGGGACATCCACAACCTCTGTGGGCAACCTGTTCCAGTGTCTCACCACCCTCACAGTAAAGAACTTCTTCCTTGCATCTAATGTAAATCTACCCTCTTTCAGTTTAAAGCCGTTATCCCTTGTCCTATCACTACGTGCCCTTGTAAAAAGTCCCTCTCCAGCTTTCTTGTAGGGCCCTTTTAGGTACTGGAAGGCTGCTGTAAGGTGTCCCCAGAGCCTTCTCTTCTCCAGGCTGAACAACCCCAACTCTTCATAGGAGAGGTGCTCCAGCCCTCTTACCATCTTCGTGGCCCTCTTCTGGACCCACTTGAGCAGGTCCATTACCTTCTTATGTTGGGGTCCCCAGAGCTGAATACAGCACTCCAGGTGGGGTCTTATGAGAACAGAGTAGAGGGGCAGAATCACCTCCCTCGACCTGCTGGTCACACTTCTTTTGATGCATCGCAGAACACAGTTGGCTTTCTGGGCTGCAGATGCACGTTGCTGGGTTATGTTGAACTTCTCATCAGCCAACAGCCCCAAGTCCTTCTCCTCAGGGCTGCTCTCAATCCACTCATCGCCCAGCCTGTATTTGTGCTTGGTATTGCCCTGACCCATGGGCAGGACCTTGCACTTGGCCTTGTTGAACTTCATGAGGTTCATATAGGCCCACCTCTCAAGCCTGTCCAGGTCCCTCTGGATGGCATCCCTTCCCTCCAGCGTGTCAACTGCACTACACAGCTTGGTGTCGTCGGCAAACTTAACTTCATAGACTTCAATGAAGTTATACAGTGGATCTTTTTTCCCAGTACTTTATTTCAAAACATTGGAAGTAAAGTTTCTTGGAGTCTGTTTGCATTACATCAGCTTTCTCACAGAAAAGATTTTTTTTATTTTTTTTTAGTATCCTGGATCAATCTAAAGTCTAGGATGAATATAGGACTCATTAAATGCCATTTGTTTGAGAAACAGAATAGTAAGATTGCACCATGATGTTATGTGTCTGAATATATATCTTTTTAGCAGCTAGGACACAGGACCAGGATTCCAAGAAGCCATTTGGCAAACATAAAATTAAGCACTTAACAATTCTGTACCTCATATTTTCCATCTGTAAAATGGGGACAGTGATATTTCCTTCTTTGAATAGCACTTTCTGATTTAATGATCTATGATTATCATTATTACTGTTCAGAGTGGCATCAGCTCTGTTCCAAATTGGTTATAATTAGAATGTTTAGATGAATGAAAGCAATTACAGAGCCCGTATGCCGCAAACATTTAAGCTTGTGATTAATTTTATGTACGTAAGTAGTCGCAGTTACTTCAGTGAAGCTGCTCACATGAATAAAATTAAGCTCATTTGAAGTGTTTGCAGGACCACAAATGGAAGGCTCTAAGAAACCTCAGTTCTTAAATAGAAATAAGTAATAGTAGACTTCTCAGGGAAATTTCTGGGAAATTTATTTTAACTGTATGCTACGGCATGTTGTGGAGTAAGTCTTAATTTGGTTCACAAAACTCAATGTTACAGCCATTGATGATAAATATTGGCTTTCGTATCACTCAATATGTTTTTGCAGAAAAGTAATCCTTCTTTAAATTTTGGCTATGGCTCAAAAGCTTATTGTTAAATACGTTTTGTTAATAAGAAGCCTGACTCATGGCAGGCAGCACTGTGAATGACTAATTACCAGGAATATCAAACAGACCTCTTTCCATTCCACTGCCAGAACAGTTATCTTTAGAGCTTGTTTAAGAAAGGATTCATTTCACTCAAAAGTAATAGTTTATGTTTTTACATTGCAGGGGTTTTGTTTTCTATATGATGACAGCTAGTTATTCAGCTTTACCAAGGATAGGGGGAAAAAGTCACCCAAATATATGTTGAAAGAAATTCTCCAGTAGTGATGGAGAGTCGCAGAACTGTGCAGATGTGCCAGATGCGTGTCATGAGAAGCAAGTTCTGGTCTGCTGCAGTTGAGGTGCTGAGCAGCAGTGAAGCCCAGGGCTAGCTGGGGTGGGGACTAGCTTGTGACCATGGGCTGCAATCAAATGCCCCTTGACTGCCTTCTGGAACAGAAAACACATGGACCCACACACAACCTGTTGCAATCTGATAGTAGAGGGGTTCAGCTGTCGGGTACCATTTTGTTTTCCATCCTTCAGTTACCTTTACTTTTCTTGTTTATACAGTTGATGGTTTGGATAAGGCTTCGATCGCTAACTCGGATGGACCAGCCCCAGGATCCCAAACTCCCCCCTTCAAGAGGAAGGGCAAACTCTCCACCATTGGCAAAATATTTAAACCTTGGAAATGGCGGAAGAAGAAGACTAGTGACAAATTCAGAGAAACGTCAGCAGGTATGTCTGTGGCCCTTTGGTGGCAAATAGTAGAAAAAACTGTGATGGCTTCGCAGTGTAATATTTGAGAAGCTCTTGGAGCTTGTTTGATGGCAGGGATTATTTAGGCACAGTATTTGACATACAGAAAAACAGTTTGATCCTTGGCAAGGAAAAACCTAATCTTGTTCAGCTTCTGTTCTGCACCTATCACCAAAAATACACAGTTTGTTTACTATACATTATATATGATATTCTTTTTATGTTGACAGTACTCTTTTTTTTAACTAAGAAACACTAGGCTCTATATTACATACCGTCAAATACGTTGGAAATGTCTCTATGTCCTCCTAATATGTCGGTCACTTTGATTATGAAACAAGCCTTGCCTTCATGGGGACAGAATTTTGGTCTGTTCAGAGGGGAGAAGCAGACGTGGCCATGCCAAGCAGAAGAATGAGGATCACCTTTCTGACCACTGCCTTCATACAGACTGCTCTGCCCCTTCACTCCCCCATTGGCAAGGCTTGAAGAATGGTCTGAAATAAAAAGCTGTGATTGAATTCTATTCCTTCTGAAAAAGGGGAATGTTGAGGGCTGGGATTCAGTTAGCTAAACACAGTTGCTTGGTGCCACCTGAGATGCTCTGGTGTGTCCTGGCTGCTCTCCCAGAAGGTTCTGCATCATATTTACCATCCCCATGCAGACATCTCCAAAACCCTGGGGCATCTCAAGTGGCTGTAGACACCCACGTTTAGGAAACTGAGTACCACCCTGCATATATGTGTGTGTGTGTGTGTCACAGCTCTGGCCAAGTTTTCTCCAGAAAAATCCCAAACTTCTGTTTTGGGATTCAGGCATTCGATGTTGTACTTTTCTAAACTTGAGTCTACTCAAGAGTCCAGTGAGCATCTATGAGCTCTTCAGATTCATTACCACTGTCCGCTGTCTTCCATGGCTCTAGGTGATAAAACCATTACTAATCTCCTGATGTGTCTTCCGTAGGCTCTCCTGAACTCTTAAGAGTACACTGCTTGACATTTTAAACCCATAGCAACCCCTGCCAATTACAGTGAGGAACTCTATGATTTTGCAGTGTAACTTCTAAAACATGCTTTATTAACACAAAAGGCAAAAAGAAGTCATCTTCTCCGGTGTCTTCATCACTCCAGATACCAACTGAAGTTTTGGACAATCTTTTAGAGGTCTTCAGATCCTTCTCTCAGTCTCTCTCTTCTTTTTTTTTTTTAATTTTCCTGGGTAACCTGCAACAAAACCCCCACAATTTCTTCCACTGCTGCAATCAAAAAAATCCTCTCAGTCTGATAGCTCCTTTGTTGCTTCCAGTTTCCTTCAGCTTCCCCAGTACTTTTATCACATTGCTAGAGCAAAGTTATTTCTAGTTACTGTCTCCTGAATGTTCTGCGGCTGCTGTTGGACAGGTATGTGATTTTTATATGCAGTGAATTCTTCAGAATAATCACCATTCATAAGCTGTGTATACAGGTTCCCCAAACTGTCACAACATATTAGCATGTGTTAAATTGTTATGCCATTAAATAACAAGGCATGTGTCATTCTGCAGTTATTTTGTATAAATGAGTATGTGGTAAATTAATGTTAAATACAGTATTTCTTATGTTGTACTGTCTTTCTTTAGAGAACCTCAATCCAGTCTTAACAAGCATGACACATCAATTCTTATAATACCAAGGCAAAGCATTTGTTCATATTTCTTTTATGAAAGGAGGAAATTTGGCACAAAATAATTAAGGTCAACATTTCAAAAAGTGCCTCCTCAGTTACTTGCTTGTACTTAATTTGCCTGTCTTGTTTATGATGGTGTGGTCCCTCAAGTCCTTTCAGGGGTGTGGAGAACCCATGGTTCCCATTGGCACTGACTTCAGATGGAGTTATTCAGGACAATTTATCTCAAGGTGAGCACCTGAAAAATGGAGATGCCTAACAGTAGATATAATGGACAAGAAAACACTAAATAATCTCAGAACTGTAATGAAAATCAAGCTTTAAAAATATGCTATAGATACAAATAGACTAATGTTGAGTCATGAAATACCTTTTTCAGGTGCCATACAGCTACACTAGTTGGTGATAAGGGTTGTTGTTTCTATCACTGAACCTTGCTGCGTTTAAATACCTAGACCATCAGAGCTAAGGTACTATTAACATTACAGCAGAGTATGTGAAACATCTTACGTTCTGACTCTGATTTTGCCACTGTGTGCTCCCAATGCATAGCTGTATTTATTACTCTTAAGAAAGAGGTAATTATTGGGAAGCAGTGTCCATCTTAGCTACCTCAAAACTAATTTTCAAGTGATAATTTGTCTTCCCAGTTGTCTCAGCTGTGTCTGTTTAATTCCACTGCCTCCTGCATACTGGCACTAGTTTTGTGATGAACAGATCACAAACCTGATGCGGCTAAAAACAAATCCAGCAAAACATAGCAAGAAGTAGTTTTTACTCTTCTGCAAAGGTTACCTCTTGGATTTGTGTTGTAGCATTGTGAAGACTAGCAATAAAGCACGCTGAAGCAGAGACGAAAAACAGGCACTCTTTTGGATGACTTCTTAAAATTCAGACAACCTGATATTTTTCATTTCAGCTGTGGTTTTGCAGCACTGCCTTTCAGGTCTGGAAACTAAATAGAGCTCCGTGTCTTTTTTTCAAAGTTAAAGCTTTATTTTGTGATCAGTCTTGTCTTGAAAATGGAGAGCACTGATGTGCAAACAGAAATCCATAAAAATTAGGAGAATTTGCACTACAAATTGGCAGAAGAATAGAGATGGTGGTGAAAGATCACTAGAGTCGATAGATCATGTAAGTGGGAGCTCTTTTGGTCAACTGAATACATGGTTATATATAAGTATGTATTGAAGAGTGGAAGTTAATTATCTGCACAATGAAGTGTCTCTGTAAATGGTATAGCGGATGGGAAAAGTGCAGTGCAGGAGGAGATAACACTTAGTTGACTAACTGAAGTCCCTGTTCTAAGTCCAGTCACAAGACTCTGTATTTAATAGTCCTTTATGGCAAAAAAAGCAACTAATGCAGTTGATTCACTAAGTGCTTAATGTATGTGTATGTAGAAATACCATCTTCTATATAGACTTTTAAATTATCCTGAAAAACTGTTCATTTTTTATTTCATGGTTTAGCTAGCATCCTGCTGGATAGCCATGTAGTACATACCAGCCTTTTATACAGTAAAGACTGCTATTGTATTTAATAACGTAATGTAAAACAGCTAATAAAACACATCATTCTAATGCTCTGAATTATATAAACTACAGTATTTCATTGCCTATATAGTTTGTGAAGATTAAATATGAAAAATTTAATGCGTGTCTTGGTGAACAGAACTTAAGATGTTATAGAGGAGGTTTGGGAACTTCTGATATTTTTTTATTATTCAGTAGATTGATTTTTTTTTTTCTCTGAAGAGTACATATGCTCTATTTTTAGTAAGGTTCTGCTTATCCATCCTGCTACACTGTAAAATTTGATTTATTTAGGTGGAATTATACAAAAGTAGTGACATAGGGAATTAATTTCATGTTTTCAAAACTTTTGTATTATTTTGTACATTCAATATATTGACCTGTATTCATATGTCCCAGTTTACATGCATTTTGTCAACCATCACAATATTTAGTGCTTTTTTTTTTTTTACTTAAAGTGAAATTCTAGGAGTTATGTAATATCTGAAAATCTTGACTTTCATCTCAAAAATAGCAAGACTGGCTCTCTAGGCTGGGGAGATGAAAAGAAAGTAAATCTGGACAATATCAGTTCTAAGAGGTCTAAAAACAAATGAAAGGTTCACAAATTATTTTCCCCCTAAATTTCATATGAGAGTTTTACCCTATCGTGGTTTAACCCCAGCCAGCAACTAAGCACCACGCAGCCGCTCATTCACTTCCCCCCCACACCCAGTGGGATGGG